TGAGAATAATTCTGAAAATGAGATGTGTTGTAAAAATCTTCAAGGCTTCAAGCCACTGATTATTGGGCAACACATTAAGGCGATGTTGCATTTTATTAAACCCATATATTCCCTTCCCACTCTCTGTTTTTGCTCCTTTTTCTTTCACACAAACAGACACACAAAACACTGCCTCCCTTTTTCCCGGTCGTGCCGGTGATTTGCATGCAGCATTAGTGAGGGAGATCAGTTTGCGGTGCCTCACACCTGTTGGAGGTTTGAAATCAGAGAATCGCTCTTGTGTCATTGTGACAGCGGGTATTTAAATTCAGTCTGGTTTGGTGAATGTCATTCATGAAGAACACCCGGAAACAGCAGACACAAAGCGGCACAAATGAGTAAACTTGTATTAAAAACCAGCAAAGTGTAGAGAGTGCTGGTATTGTGGCGACTGAGCTCACGAGGTCATTTATATCCATTATACCTCGTGTTTCTTTTCTATGTGCCGATAAATGATCAGACCTGTTTATCCACATCGGGGGTTTAGTGCAGGTCGGAGTCTGCAGGGAGGAACAATGCAACACAATTCTAACAGCAGGTACAGTGTCTAGGAGCTGCTGTAGTGCAGAACATATACTGTATAAGCAGATACAGGCATTGATGTATAATCCTCTGTGCCATAAAGTCAATTCTGAACATGATTAAAAAAGTTGCTGACAAAATAAAAGCAACAAATCCTAAAATCTCCCCAAAACTGCAGCAACCAATTATAATGATATTGAGACCTGACAACCCTTTTATAGACGAGCGACATGAAGCTGCAGTTGTTTCACAAACATTGACCCATATTAACCCCCAGACTAATTGTTTTGTGCAAATTGTCAAAAGGCCATCAGATTTGAACTTGTGTTCAATAGCCCATGTCATACAAAGTGTGTGTGCGTGTGTGTTAAGGAGGTATTATAATTACTTCCTGTAAAGTGCAGCAGAGGCAAGAGGTTCAGGTTCAGAAGGCAACAGCTGCTTGAACAAAGAGGATCCTCGTGCAATCAATTCTGCATCCCAGGAAGTGGAACTGCTTAACATATGGGAGCCATTCAGAGTGTGTGTGTGTGTGTGTGTGTGTGTGAGTGTACAGGATGTGGGATGTGTCATCTTTGTTTGCACCGGCTCTCCGGACTGTTTGTCATTTGTGGCTTGTGTTGAGGCCTCAGGTGACGGGGCGAGCATGGGTCACAGTGCGCTGAGGACACTTTGTCTTTCTGATACTGGGTGAGTGGAATCAGCAGATGCATGAAAAGTTCATGGCGCTGACAGTAAAAAGAGAATAACAGTTAATTATTGACAACAAACTCAGCTTACTTTCAAAGATAGTACCCGAGAAACTTTCGCTCCATATCTTCACTAACTGGGGGACGTATGTGACAGTCTACACAGGTTTTTTTTTTTAACGTTACCGTAACGGCACATGCACCAGTTCTCCACCTGAGCAGAACAAGAACCAACATCACCTGCTGCAGTCCAAGATGGCGGAGTTTTAGGAGCTAGCGGGTCGGCGTCGACTGAACTATCGAATCAAAACCAATCAAAAGTCAGGACTTTCAGAATCAAATCAGAGTGGAAACAGACTGCAGATTGCAATTCTACCCAAAAAGATCGTCATATGATCTTGTGGCCAAAGCCGCCAACCTTAGATCCAATCATGAGTCGTTGCATCACTGGATGAACTCAGTGATGCAACGACAAGTCAGACCTTGGCCATGATCTTGAGTCTGAGCTGTGAGGCGGGGAAAGACGTTCCATGTCATCTGCAAATTTGATGAGATGGGGGCCGGTGTACAAACTGCTCTGGCTGCTTGTATACGGAACAAAAGGCAGCAGGAGGAGAAGACATGCCTGCCGGGGCCCAGTATTTGTGTAGAGGCAGTTGGAGGACCTGCGGTACCTCTGACCTTGATCTTCCGCGATCAGTGCGTCGGTTATGTGTCGGATTGGCTGGTGTTTCAGATGGAAACGGGACAGCGGTTCCTCTGCCGGGATATGATTTTGCATGTGTGTATGTGGAGGTAGAATTTGGCAAACATCATCAGCCCGGCTGCCGCCTTTAGTCTCTCCAAATCACTGCGAGTGTGCTGGAGCAGCAGTCATCTTTCTCTGTGTGAAGTAGCCTGAGCTACCACCCAAAGGCATCACTAAATTAGCCCAGTCAGCTAGGGGCTCTTTCCCCCTCATTTCTTTTAGATTTTCACTAAAAGCTATGAATACATTGAACTGACATAAGAGACCGCACTTACCCATTGCTTTTAAATTTGCATGTGAATAGATGGAGCGTTTGCTGCACTTGAGGAAATTAAAAAACGCCTGCGAGTTCCCCTTACTGGTTTGCATCACAGCTGACGCAGGATTCGCACCCTCCACTGTGTTTCCAGGACAAAACTTTGTTTGTGTGCGAGACAGACAGGGAGGCAGAGAGAGAGAGAGAGAGAGAGAGGGAGTGGGAGAGTGTCTGATAGAGCCATCACTCAGCCCTTTGGCATTGATATCTTGTTTTCCTCTCAGACTGGGCTAGATGTTTCTGTGCCCCTTATGTGTTATTGCCGGGCTGCAGCATTGGTTGTAGATCAGTGTGAAAACTGTGAAGCACGGGGCACAGCGGGCTCCTGAGTGACAGCGGCGAAGCAAATTGAGGAGAGATATTGGGTCCTGGGAACATGCAGATGAACCAATAACAGCCCCGCGCCGGCCACGAGATGTAAACGAGTGGAGGATGCTGGAATGGCAAACAGACCCCACCACCACGCACTTCCCCCCCGCAGCGTTACATTCTGCAGCCACTTTGTTTGAGCCACGTCTCGCATGATAACAGCATGTGTACCTACCGCGAGGTGCAACGCCGGAGGGGCGTCCTATAGCCGTTGCCCAGTCGCACTTTGTGATCTATATTCAGCAATTTCAGGAGCAAAGACGACGCTGTGCTGCTCCCAGAGACGGTTAAGTGCTTGTGTTTCCCCCCCCCGAGTCACATGTCCCACCACCAGCCTGAGGTTAAATCACACCAGAGTTCCCTTTCCTGTGTCTCTCCTAATCTGTCTGCTGCAATACTATCCCACCTGCTAAATAAGGAATGGACAGCTAACTCTGAGATAAAGACCGTAAAGCTTTTACTCCACCTTGCTGCTGCTGATGTTGACATTTGAGGTATTAGTTGCAGTGGCATTAAATAGTCATTAATATAATACCTGCCCTATTAACAAATGAGTCATTACATGGAAGGCTGTGGCTTTGTTTGACAGGTGCATGTTTGTGTATTAATGTTCCCATCTATCATTGTCTGGATGTGCACTCACGTCTCATGTGTTGCATCTATCCAGACACAAACACCATGTCAATGCTCTGTGCGCAAAACAAATTGGAGCACTCTGTACAAGAAAAGCTTGCCTGGGGCTAGTCATTTTGAAATTAAAAGCATGTCTCTTTGTTCAGCCTCAGTTCCAGGAATGAGGAAGAGAATGTGAATGTGTCGCACGGAGGGGAGACGAAACACAGAGCGAGTGCTGTGATTTTCACAGCCGGAGAATCACACAGAGTCTTTTATCTATTCGCCTCAATCAGGAGACATCCGGCAGGAATGGTAGGAGGATTAGATTAGCTGGAGAGAGGGAGAGAGAGAGAGAAAGAGAGAGTGGGTTCTTTAATCCTGATGGGGTTTTCAGGTACAGCCATCGCTGTGGAGAAAGCATGCAGTGTGCAGTGGGGAGCTGGGGAATCGGGAAGGGGCGGGTGCAGGACAGTTTGCCTCGCTAAACCCTTCACACTTGCATGAAAGAGGTTCCAGCAAACTAGGGGATTAGTCGGAGTGTAATTACACTTGCGGGGGCCTCCAGAAGTAGCGAAACGTACGCCGGCTGGAACACACCTCAGAGCGGCAGAGGAGGAAAGGGAGTAATACCTGATAATGGTGCTGTCGGTGTGTTGTCTGTGAATCCTTCGGCTGAGTCATGTGACTATAGTGAAGGAGTCTTTATGGAGTGACTGTAGATCTGCCTGATCAACAGTCTGATGTCTTTATCTCCTTCTTCTTCTTCTTCTTCTTCTTCTTCTTCTTCTTCTTCTTCTTCTTCTTCTTCAACGAGGTGTTTGTTCTTGTTATTCATGCTCATCACCTTTTATTTTATTTTGGGAGAAAAGGATGCCTGTTGATATTTTTAACAAGTGATTATCATGCAGTGTCATTACACACCGCCTGTCAAAAAGTGTGTACACTCATTGCTATAGTAGAGTTGCATTGAGATACAAACAGCTACATATTTCAGCTGCTGTCCCCGCCGCTCAGCCGGTTCATAAAATCAGGATTTCTCACGATCTAACTGCTGTATTTCTATTTTTTTACACAGAGAAAAAACAAAAAAACAAACAAAAAAACAGTGCAGCTGAGATATCACATTTCCCACAGGACCTAAACACCACCTCACCTTTTACACAAAAAAAAATATTGTAGCAAACAAAAACACTAATGACACTAATTATTTCTATATTAACTAAACCAAGATGTTTTTTATCATAAATATTTTTGCAGGTTAGCCTAGCTTCCTGCAAAATGCCCTGTGGCATCGGATGCATCTCTGTGTATTTAAAATGTTAAACAGTGTGATGTGAAAGTGGATAAATTCTACAAATGATTGTATTGTAATGCTGTGGCAGGGGGTGGGGGGTGTGGGGGTGGGGTGGAGTTCTGGTGTTGTCGTGTTATTTCTCACACTGCGCTCCAGAAACCATTTGTTTGAGGGAGACGTTGCTGCAAGGAGTAATGGCTACTAGTTGGGTGTGTTTGCGGGGGTGTGGGGGGTGGGAGTGAGTGATAGTGGAGGAAGCTGGGGAAAGACAGAGAGAGAGCTAGTTTTGTTGCGTTGAAGACAATTCCAGCAATAAATATCTTGTTTTTCTCTTCCCTTTTTTCTCAGTATTTATTTTTGTTTTATACAGAGTCTCTCTTTAATCTTTAATCTCGTGTTGTTCCCCAGGCGCCCGAGGTGAAGCCCTGCAGCATGGCCAATCTGGGACGCTGCCCCACTTCCTGGAGGAGCCTGTCGACGCCTACATCGTCAAGAGTAACCCCATCAAGCTCCGGTGTCAGGCTCGGCCCGCTCTCCAAATCTTCTTCAAGTGCAACGGCGAATGGGTCCATCAGAGCCAGCATATGTCTCAGGAGCACACCGACCTGGGGACAGGTACAGCAGCAGACGCTGGTCCACAGAGACACACAAACATGACGCACACTCGCATGATGTATACAAACATATACACTCTGCGACTTAAATTGAAATTCTTCTCCTGTCAAGCCACTCTCCTGTCACTTTAAGTTATGAGCGTAGAATTCATATCTGTGTTAGCAAGAAGCGAAGTCTCCAGAATGAACTTTCCAAATGGGGCTTTATGACAATGCCTACAGCTATGTCCAACCCTGCAAATATATTTGCACTCACTTCTTGAGCGCATACTGTGTGTCACATTTGATCTAAACTGAAATGACAACTGTTAGACCATGAAAGGCACCAACTTGTTCAATTTTAGGATTTGACTTTGAACTCCAAATAGTGTCTCTTTTTTTTTTTCCTGATGCAACTTGCAGAAACGCCGTTGTTGTTGTTTTAACTTCAAAATGAATCCGTTCAAACCACTGACATTTTTCCATTCTTTTGTCTGAAGCGCCCTGTTTTCATTGCATCATCTCACAGTGGAGTTTTAATGTCTCAATAGTTCACAGCAAATTGAATAGAAATAATACAAAAACTGGATTATACCTTCTTTCTTCCCCACAACGTACTTGTACTGGAATTAACAAGACTAGGTCAAAACCTTTGGCTGGATGGCGTCGTAGGCTATTTACAATCTGCCTGGTCCCTGTCTCTGTTTGCTTAGTGCTCATCATCCTGATGTAATAACCATGATGTCGTCTGACAACAGAAATCACCACACACACACGAGTTACAGACAAAGACCGTGCTGTGATGTCAGATGTATTTACTTGTGATCACTCAGAGAGGAAGTTAGAAGCTCGTTCACATCAGCTGACCTGCAATCAGCATAGAGAGGTGTGCCTGCGGAGGGAAAGACTCTCGGCCTCTTTGTCGTTAGGTAGTGTTTCTAAAAAAAAGTCGGTGAAGGGATGATTCAACTCTGTCACTCAGTCAGTCAGTCATGGACTTTCATGTTTAGGGCTGGCCCCCACTGTTGCAGTCCAATTAAGCAAGTTATTGTTGTCTTATTGTGGGGTCCTCTTTTGCAAAACCAGTGACATCAGTGGCCTTGATGACGACCCGACAGAGGTTAGATACCTGGGGCTCCCGGTCACCAGTCATTCAGAACTGAAGAAGCCTCTTGGACAAGAGGTGAAAGGTCTTCAGGTGTCTACAACCAAGTCCAGTTGCCCTTGATTCGGCCCCTCTTGGATAACAATGACCTGGATGAGTGAGAATCTTCACTCAATGGTCAGAGGTCTGCACTGAACATCTGGTAACCATCACCTGATTGGATTATAACTTGCTGGCTTGGCTGCTATTAGTACGTCAGTGTTCAATCTTCTGCTTAACACACAGCGCCCATCAATATCTCCCTCCCAAGAGTTAATAATGGACCTCTAAAGTTTTACTGTCTGTGGTCTGGATTCACAGCTCCGCTCCCCTCTGGCTCCTTATCGCCATTCATATCTGCTTCCACTGGGACAGACAAGAGAGGAAGGGAAGGAGAGGTACAGAAGGGAAAGAAGTGAGGGAGAGAGAATAAAAGCCTGAAAAGGAGAGCATCTTAAAAATCCACCTGCACTCGTATCTCTTGAAGTAGAAATCTATCTGGGCCTGAAGTGTGTCAGGATGTGTCCTCCTAACTACAGGCTGCTGGAAGATGTGAAAAGAATGGGTGTACTTTTTTTTATTTTTTTATTCGCCTCAGTTGAACCCTTGACCTTCGCTAAAAATGTGGGAGCGTCAGAGGAATAGATTTAGAAACATCATCACCAAACGGGACACATTAGCCAGGTTGGTTATTTCCCCATGCTAGAATATATTTGCATGAACGTCTATACCTCGACAATTTTGCATTTGAGTTGTTGTGGAAGTTTTCTGTGTATGCTATTCTGAGGGCTGTTTCCTGTCTGTCAACACTTCAGACTGTTGCTTATACCACCAGACCTCAAAGCCGAGGTGACAGTGATACAGATAGACAGGCAAAGTTTAAATTTAATGAAGGCAGGGGAAAAAAAATCATCGCGCTGTTTGTGGAGCGTGCTGCTAGAAACTGCCTGCATGAACTCGTGACTCGATCCTCCTGCTAATAATATCATTCATCTGTGTTTTTTAAATGCATCGTCTCTCAGAAACGTGTCTTTTAACCTTGATGACAATGTTTTCTTCACTTTTAAGTTGGTTTAGCTGCTTAAGGCAGCTATAAGAAATATTTTTGTCATAACAACGTATCATGTGATTATGTGAAAAGGGTCGCTTGTCGTTATCGCCTCTGCGCTTCCTCTCAGCTGTTTGGAGGTGTAGAGCATCTTTCAGCTTGTTTGAGTTTTCCAGCCCATAACTTTACTGCTCACTGTCACTCGTCTCAAAGTGTTGTTTTCTCAAGTAGGCAGCAAAATAAAATAGAATAAAAAATACTCTGCTGCCTAGCACTGAACGGCAGACAGACAAAACAAGTTAGCAATTAGCTGGTGAACATATTGTAGTGGAGCCTTTAGCGGCTGAAGAGCCAGATATTTCTCCCAGGAATCAGCGCAGACCTAAAAGAGAGCTAAAAGCGAGTGGATATTGGATTTACATTCAGCAGGAGGCCAGAAACACGACACCGAATGAATGGTGAGCAGACAACCGTTTGCTAAATCAACTTAAAAGGTGGAAAATATATCAGTGTTGTGTGCAGAGCTTGTTTCCGCTGCCCCCAAAGTGTCCACAACATCAGTTATTGCAGGTTTAATCTACCGCGTTTAGAATGACCACAATCCATTCCATATATTCCATTACCTCAACCTTGTAGTTTGGTGGTAGGGGTGTCAGGTCAGCAGAAATCCTCATCGCTAATTTTGGGTTGTACTGAATGTACGCTTTCCTTGTTTTTAGTCAACAGTTTTATGTCGCACACTGCACCTGGCTCTCACTTAACAAAACCTAATGGAGCAACTTCATGATAGTGATGAGGGACTAAATATTGATGAATTGGGAACACTTTACTTTGAGTTCCTCCTATTTAGTATTTATAAGCACGATACAAATATTCGATTTCTGGTTTATAACACAGTGTAATGTAGCTGTAAGTAGATACAATCAGTATCATTGTATTTGTTAACAATTATAACTTCTACTTGTTTTACTGTGTTGTCATTCATCATCTGTTCATACAGCAGTTTCCACTCGGGTGTCCCCAGGAGGGGTTGTAGTTAGAACATTACACTGTTTCAGTTCGAGATATCTCAGTTACGATACCACTTGTCTCAGAAAACTAATGCTGTAAATTGTTCCTCTAACCTGGTACATTATTAAAAATATTAATGTTTACATTACTAATGGACCCCAAGGCTGTTATATTAATGCACTTTCTATTTAACATGACCAACAGTTTCTCCAGAAGTGATAGGTAGCTGAGTAATGTGCATTGCTAACGTACCCCAGTGCAGCAGCTACAGTGTGCACGCAGCTTCTTCTTCTGTTGCACATGGCTTTGCTTTTGTCCAGCTCTTCATTGTCTTAGCTTTTAAATCTGAAATGCAGCAACACATCTGCCTTCAGACCTGGAGCTACGTCTGCCGTGTTTTTGTCTCACGTGACCACATCTCGTTGCGTGAGAAGGGCGGATACAAGACTGTGAAAGGCAGATATTGAAAGATTCAATATCAGATTATTCAAATGAAGATGAATTTGTTTGGAGAATTGATTACCCAGACCTGCTTTTATCTCCATGCAGCTACAGTTATAAACCATTTATTACATGTTTATATACGACCCACAACTGCGACACTATCACAGCACAACAGTTGCTCTGTTGTAAAAACTTCAGTATCCTCCTTGTCAGTGATCATCTCAGCGTAAATACAGCCTTATAATCAGACACAGGAGGGAGCAAACTGAAAAACGAATGGAGCAGTTCAGTGTTTTGGCAAACAAGGAGATAAGCCACAAAATAAGCATGAAGACGGAGTCCTCTGACATGATATGAAATATCTAGAGACGGTTACAGCCACGTTAGCAAATGAAGCCACAACAAAATGTCCCCAAATGAATGCCAATACCAGTTGATTTTTTAAGAACACTGGACCTGGCCACGTTTTTTTATTTTTTTTTATTTTACAGCCCACACTTGGATGTGACTGCACGCTCCAGCAGCCTTCCTCTGAAAGTGGTAAATAACTTCGAATGTCGAAACTATCATTGCTTAACACGCCGTGTTCACACAGTGGAGATGTTCCTTCGAGCGTGTCGTAATTTTGAGATTCCACATCCCTCCTTTCAATCTAACGTTAAATCAGCATGTTGATGGCTTTTGTGTTCAGATGTTACTCCATTATGTCTTTATTTGTTTTGTTCACATAAATCGTGATGGCTTTGAAAACTAAAATGGAAAATATGATAGCCAGTAGTTATTTAGAGAGATTTTAGACCAATGGATTTGAGTGAAATTGTGTTAAAACTTTAATAATGTCTAAAATAATAATAATAATAATAATAATAATAGTGTGATATGTCTTTCCTAAAAGCATGTTTATCAAACAGAATACTGAAACCCCATCAATCAATGCTTCAGGTTAAAAAAGAAAACAAGATGAGCGCTGCTTCAACATGAGGTTACATGTGTTACATTTCAGGATCACCTGCGATGGTGTTTCTCAGACACCAGCATTATCACCGAACGTCAGTATTCACACGCTACAGTCGTCACCTCCCCATCTAGATTCATTCATTTACTTATTTGTTTACTTGTTTATGTTATTGCCACACGAGCACCGTGGCTCTCAGGATGGAGGTGGTCGTCAGTCGTCATTGCTGGGAGATTCTGTCCAGACATTCGTGGTCGCCTGAGGATGAACCTCTCTGATTTAGCTGACTCCCTGACGTTTCATCTAGCGCCAGCAGCAGGTCAGAGTTTATGATTATCCAGTTTCGACTCGATTCGACTCAACTCGACTCGACTCGCCTTTTTTTGGTTTTCCATCAGGCACAAGTTGTGGATAGTTCCT